TGCCCTCACAGGCACTGCAGCAACGGGGAAGGGGTGGCTCGCTGGACAGCGGTGCCGGCGCCGTCGGCAAGCTATCAGCAGCTGCCGCCGCGGCGGCGCCGGCAGTAAGACCCCTAGCGGACTTTGCCTTTATCAGAAGTGCACCGAAACGTCGCGTCTCCGCCGGCCGCACCGGGACGTTGGTTAATACACCCTCAGCACCGACGGGGCCCATGGGAAGGTGCCGTCCCAGTGTGTTCGTACAGCCGGCGGATGAGGCGGCGGCGCCGACAGATGCTGAAGAGGCACTGCTGGACGGCAACGGCCCCACGCCGCCGTTGCTGCATCGAAGAGCTGCGACGCCTGAACTGGAAAACAAACGTGGTGGAAGCACAGGCGCCTCCCGGTCACACCAGCCGCATCGACGGTAGCGACGCGGACGGCAGCCGAGAAGGTATCGAGCCCAGCGACGGTGACAGTGATGATGGCAGTGATGAAGTAGTGATAATGGGAGAAGCTCCAGGAAAGGGGTCCTGGCACTTTGGCTCGTTACCTCGCAACGGAGGTTCGGATCGGCAGACATGGGCGGACACCTTTCACGGCCCTTTCAGCCACCGCGCACTAATGCAGGGGCCTTTGCGGGCGCTGCTGCTGCTGCTGCTAGCGCTGCTGCTGCTGCGGCGGTGACTTCAACCCATTTCCCTCCCCGGCCGCCGCTGTGGCTCTTCTCCTCTGGGCTTGCTGCCACCGCGACCTTTTTGCGGTGCATTTCCCTCCCCGCCCGCCGCTGTGGCTCTTCTCCTCTGGGCTTGCTGCAACCGCGACCTTTTTGCGGTGCATTTCCCTCCCCGGCCGCCGCTGCGGATCTTCTCCTCTGGGCTTGCTGCCACCGCGACCTTTTTGCGGTGCATTTCCCTCCCCGGCCGCCGCTGTGGCTCTTCTCCTCTGGGCTTGCTGCCACCGCGACCTTTTTGCGGTGCATTTCCCTCCCCGGCCGCCGCTGCGGCTCTTCTCGTCTGGGCTTGCTGCCACCTCGACCTTTTTGCGGTGCATTTCCCTCCCCGGCCGCCGCTGTGGCTCTTCTCCTCTGGGCTTGCTGCCACCGCGACCTTTTTGCGGTGCATTTCCCTCCCCGGCCGCCGCTGCGGCTCTTCTCCTCTGGGCTTGCTGCCACCGCGACCTTTTTGCGGTGCATTTCCCTCCCCGGCCGCCGCTGCGGCTCTTCTCCTCTGGGCTTGCTGCCACC